GAAAGCATGATACCACAGTGACATATTTGCACCCATGTTTATTAGCAGCACAATTTGTAATAGCCAGATCTGGGAAACTACCTAAGTGTCCATCAACTGAAGAATGGATAAAAACGTTGTGGTATTTCTATACAATGGAGTACTACTCAGCCATAAAGGATGATCACATTGAGATATAAATAAATGTATGCAGTTTGAGAACATACTCATAAGTGAAATAAATCAAACTCACATGTATAAATACCGAATAGTTTCCCTAGTGTAAGAAATGATAAGAATACATAAAAGTGCATGGTAATCATGATTTCCGTCATATTGGTTTGAAGCCATATGATGTTTTCATTCATTATTTGGAATGGTTTTAATCTAGGTTGTTCGATTTTATTGTCTGTGATAGTATGAATAGTTATTTTGAAGAAAATTAGGCAGCGTAATAGCTAGTGCTGATTTAATATCATCCTGTTTTGAAGTCATACCAAGTTGTTGTTCATCTGTTTCCATTGGTTTTAACATGTTGTATCATATTATATTTTAATATGTGCAATAGTATAAAGAAAATTTTTTATAGGCAAAGAGATAGTATAGAAACCATTGTTCAATTTCTGTTAGCTGGTTCTAAATACCCTGAAATACTTTCATTCTCTTGAATGATTTCACACTGTCTTGATAAGTTTGATGCTATAGTAAACAAAGTTATGCTCAAATATGTCAAGGAAAGAGACACTATGGTAACAACTATTATGTCAGGCTATATGGTGGTGAAACACAATGATGCTTAAATTGTTCAGTTCTGACCTGTGTTGTTCTATTGATATGTCCTCTTTTATCTCAATATCCCTTTTTAAAAAAATAATTTATTATTTTTAAGGGAAAACTATACTAAAAATAGCAGAATATATTATAGTAACTCTTTTATTTTCTTATTAACTGATTTGAACCCCTGTATTGTTCTCCACATCTTGTCCTCACTGATTTTACTACATTCTGTTTTGCTTAATAGCATCAAGTTTGAGGGTGGGCAACCATTTTGAAGGCAACAACAAGATATTCTATGATGCTCATTATGGTTTGACTATTATTTTCTTTGGAAGTCCTCCAATGTGGGTCTTATTGGCCTTGTTATGTATAGTTTGGTTCAAATCTATTATAACAGATGATACAGGCAACTCTTTTTAAGATAGCAAGAGGCATAATGATAACCATTGTTGATCACCTGATATTCTCTTTTGCATTATATACCATGTCCATCCTCCTGTTCTAACTGACTCTGTTTTGCTTTGTCACGTGGGATTTTTTGTTTTGTTTTGTTTCATTTGTTATGTTTTTATTTTTATTTTTTTTCCTCTTCAAAGAAAAAGTTACAAGAACTTTGGGAATAATAAAACCCCAAATGTGTAATTGTTATCATAAAAAAGAGAGGAAAACAAAGTGATCTAAAGGATATAACTGCATGTATATTTAAGTGTATAGAATAGAAAACCATATTACTGAGTTTTTGTTGGATCATTGAACAGAACTGTCTACAACTTCACTGTATTAATGTCCACTTTGTATGCTTTAATTTTGTAATCTGGACAACTGTTAATGAGATGACAATATGTAATCTATTAACTAGTGATTTCTTACTGTATTTTTTCTTGAAATTCTGTATTACTTGTACTCTCTTACTGTTTTGTTTTGTTTTTCTCTTTAAATAAATAAAAAAAACCAGAATCACCACATTTGGGCAACAAATGCAGAAAATGCTGAGCCTTCAAAGCTGATTCATGCAGGCACACATCCCTGAGATGTGCTGAGTCTCCACCTGATGGCAGGTTTTAAGACAGGTGCTGAAAAGCACTGGGGAGAATATGGGGGCCAGAGCAGAGACCTGCCTGGCAGCTCACATCAGAGTGCTACACACATTTGTCCCTGGACCTGGCAGGGTTAACAACAGATGTTTATCCCTTACAGAGAGCTGCACAACTTTGCAAGATTTCCTTGAAAGAGTTTGATTCACAGCTATTTGAAGCAGGAAGGAACTGGGACCATCCCTCTCTTCCACATAAAGGGTGTGTGGTACCAGTGTGGGTCATAGGAAGCAGGGAAAGCTGCAGGATGTGAGAACAAGTATTTCAGTTATGAAAGGGAAATGTCTCTGACATCAATGTGCATCCACACATAGACCTGTAAGAATCTGCATGTAAGAATGGTGTCTCAGCAGTGTAGTTACTTATGGTGACCCTGGCTAAAAATAAAAAAGAATTTTAAAAACAGAAGTTAGTGTAGTTCAGTGCAAGTCCCTTGTCATAGTTTATGTCTGTGGCCCCTAGGCCTCATGCCTTTACATTTTGCATTTGTGATTGGTTCAATGTTTAGGGCTTGCATTGGGGGTGTGAGTGCTTCACAGGCCTAGGGGTAGAGCCAGGATGTGATGTACTGGCAGGAAGAAGTTGTGGCTGGTGCTTTTGCCAGTTTCCTCTTTGCTGTTTGCAGCCACCATGAACTGCAGCCCTGCCATGTCACCCTACCATGGAGCCAACTGCGTATGGATTGAAACCTCCACAAACTGTAAGAAATAAACCTTTCCTTTCCCAAATTTTGGCATCAGGATTTTTGTCTCAGCAACCAGTAAAAAGTAACTAAGACAGCCCTGCATCCAATTCCTAGAATTCAGTTAAGGAAAAACAAACAAACAAAGAAACAAAAATTGGGAGCAAGGTGAAGGGCTACAGAGTATTGCTGCCTGGTCTTTCTGAAGAGCAGTGTGCCCCAAGTACCTTTAGCCTCCACACAATTCTTGAGCACTCTTATTTTAAAAAATGATCATTTCCATGAGGGATGGGGAAAGGAGGATGGTCACCCAAAAATACAACGTCTCAGTCATGGTGGACAAGAAATTTTCAGTTCTCTACTAAACTGTATGGTGACTACAGTTAACTAAGAAGGATAGATTTCAAAACTCCTAAACAAAGGAATTTGCAGTCCCAGTCACAGTGAAAGAATTTGTAGGTTTCTAAAATGGTAGGTACATTAACTAGATTTATTCTTTCCACAAAGGAGCCATAGATGAAAAGCACATTTTATCCCATAAACATACATAATTATTGTAAATTTGTAAGTAAAGACAGCCTGTATCTGTACTCCCAGAACTCTGGGAGGTAAGGAAGAAGGACCACCAGGTTAAACCAAACCTGGGGAATTGAGTAAATTATTTAGATACTGTCTCAAGAAACAAACAAATAAGAACAAATTTTAAAAGTGCAGGGACATATACCTCATGCAGAAATCCCTGGCATCACTGAACGTAGTACATAAACAGCATAGTATGAAATTGCATAGTCTTTCTTTTATTTATTTATTTATTTATTTATTTATTTTTTGTCTTTTTGAGACGTAGTCTTGCTATGCACTTTAGGCTGACCTTGAGCTCACTTTTTAGCCCAGGCTGGTTTCAAACTTGCAAGGATTCTCTCACCTCAGCCTTCTGAGTGCTGGGATTACATGTGTGAGCCACCACGCCCAGCTGAAAAATTTCATAGTTTCATACTACACAGTTTTGCAGTATATAAATTTATATAAAGTATGCTATAGTGTATAAAGCATACTATATAGCTTCATAGTATACAAACTGCATAGTATGAAGACTTTCTTTATAAAAGTGTTTTCATATTTGCTTTATTAGTATCTACTTATGGTACATTAAAATAAGAAAAGAGGAAAAAGGGGTTGTTTATTTCGTTCTAAGACAAGGTCCTGCTATATAGTGCAGCCTGATCTTTAACTCAGCAAGTATTTCAGGCTAGCCTGGTATTCACTGTGATCCTCCTGTCTAACCCTCCAGACTGCTGGGATTACAGGCATGCACCACCATGCCCAGCAAGAAAATATTTTTATTTCATTTTTATTTTTAAGAGAATAAAATGAAACGAAACAAAACATAATGGAGTGAATCAAAACAAAAAGATGAACATGGTACATGACTTAAAAACAAAGTCCAACAGTAGGTTGTGTGGCCTGTCTCTCAGACTGCCCAGAAAATGACACAACCTCTTTCTGAACTCCAAATTTGACAAGAAATTTGGGAAAATACCTAGATTTTGAAAGATGTAAACGTGTCTTGTTTAGGCACCAATTCATATCAAGTGGCAGGGAAAGAGCAAAGAACTTTGACTTAGTATTTCAAATTTTGGAATTTATCCCAAGAAAAAATGATATATGTTCAATGAACGTTTTCTAAGAGGAACTAGACTTGTATACATGGTCAGTAACAGGATAACTAAGTACAACTGTACCTATGCATATAATATAAATATTCAACACTATGCATATATATATAAATGATGTGAGCAGAACTGGGGAGTAATGGTCAGAGACAGCAGAATAGGGACAAGAAGGGTATTCTGCAGCAGGGTTCAACAATGTGTGTGCAGTATTTTTGTGGACTTAAATTGTGGAATCACACTTCCTCATGCCTCAAAGCCCCATGTCGCCTTCAGACTCCTCACAAACCTAAACACCCCTCACAAAACCTAAACACAAAAGTAGCGCCAATATTAAAAGAAGCAGAAAGCCCCTTATCAGTGAAACGGACTGGAGCCACAGCACGTGCAGGTAGAATAATAACTACTATCTTACTGTAACATCTCAGTCCTCTCTCGGTTTCTGCAGGGAGGAGTTCCTAGTGGAATGAAATCGTCATTTTGGGGGGTAAATATCCGCGGCTAAGCATGGCCAGGCTCACTGACAGCAGAGGCCATGTGAGACCCCAACCCGCCTCCTGCAGGTCCCACATCAGGGCTGGGCTTCCAGTAGCCTGGCTGTGCTGACCCCCGACGGAGAGGAGGGAGGAAGGGAGAGAGGGGCCCTGCGGGCGGGGGCCAGGTCGCGCCCAGCGCGTCACCCCCACCGCCCCAGCCCATGACCCCGCCATAAGGACTCCCTGCCCGGGCAGCTGCACCCACTAACGTGGGGGCCACCGGGCCGCGCCCCCCGCTCACTGCCTGCTCCCGCCAGCCTACCTGGCCCAGACCCCAGCTCAGGCCCGGATGCAGCCTAGGCCGCTGAAGGAAGAGAGCACTGGTCTTCAGACAGCATCTCTAGCGGCAAAATGGCGACTCCAAGCACAAGACCGGCATGCACTGCGAGGGCGAGGAGGGGCGCGGGCAGGTCTGAGCTGGGATGTGGAGGCTCATGCTCAGGCTGTCTGTGGGCGTGGCCTGCCGGGTGTGGGGCGGGGCAGCAGAACCTTTGGTCCTGAAAGGGGGTGGGGCGAAGGGTGTGAGGGAAGGGCAAGGGGCAGGGCTAGAAGTTGGGACAAAGCAGGCGCCAAGCCTGTCAGTGGGGCAAAAATGAGGCAGTGGGCGTGGCAATTGGGGTTAGGGTCCCACTGAAGCAGGGTGTGGCTGCCAGTGGAGATCTCTGATGAGGCTTCTGGGAGACTCTGAGCCCCAGACCCACTATGACAGGAAGCAGAGGAGTGGACTGAGTCCCAGACTTGGAATTTATAGGTGTCTGGATTCAAATCTTGTAGCTCTGAAACCTTGGGCCCACTGCTCCTCTTCTTGGAGCCTCACTTGCCAATACTGTCATTCTCCTATTACTTTGTTTTGAAATATTGTGGATTTTTTTCCATTCAAAAAACAAACCGTGATGACTGGCAATACTCCTCTCTTGGCACTGCTGTGAAGATCCAGTGAAAACCCTGCAGAGCTCTTCCCATGGCTCCTAGCATATAGCAAGAGCTCAGATGCCATTGTTATTTGCGTTGTTGCCCTTCTTTTATTACAGAGAAATGAGTGCTTCCTGAATACATTGTCTGATGTTTTCATATCTTAAAAGTATGTTAATATAATGTACTAACAAGCTTCTTTCACACTTATCAGTGTCAGGCCAGGGCCTCTTTGAGGCGCTTTACATATGTTAATTCTTACAAGAGTGTGAGTTAGGAATTATCATTTACATTGCTGTGTGAGCCTAGACACCAAAAATAAATACCTTTTCCAATGACAAAGCAGTGGACAGAATTTTAACCCAGCGGGCCTTACACCAACACCTCTGTTAAGTAACCCATACTTAGCACAGCATCGCTGCAGTTCATGGGAGGTTGCACTGCTAGGTAGAGGCAGTTTTTGTCAGGGTTCACTATAGGATCAGATTCAATTTCTCTCTCTTTGTGTGTGTGTGTGTGTGTGTGTGTGTGTGTGTGTGATATAAAAAATTTACAAATTAGGTTTAGGATGGCCATCTGCAGAGTCAGGTGGAGAACAGCGCAAAAGGGTCAGGTGCTCCTTGGACATGCAAAACCTCCAATCACAAGTCTGAGGCCTGGAGCTCACTGCAGAGTCCCTGGAGAGTCTTCAGGGAGCAGAAGAATCTGTGCTAGGTGCCTGGAAATGGATACCTAAGGTGATGGCAAGGATTCAAACTCTTCTGAAGAGGCAGAAGCCAGACTTTCTCCTTTCCCATTTTACAGCTTCCAGGATGCAGGCCTGTTGGTTGCCCACCACACACAGGGAAGGTCTTCCATCTTCAGTGAGTCAGTAATCTACACACAAACACAAAATTGTGCTGAAACGATCAGCTAGGTGTTCTTTGTTTGTTGGTTTTTGGTTTTGTGAGACAGGGTTTTGCTATGGAATTCATGCTGGCCTTGAACTCACTGTGTTGCCCAAGCTAGTCTCAAACTCAAAGATTTTATTGCCTCAGCCTCCCAAGTGCTGAGTTTACAGATATGCACCTCTACACCAAGTTCCTCCTTTATTTGAATGCACTTATTCCATCATTTTGCCATTTTCTTTGAAACAGTTCTGGAAGTCCTCTTATGAGTATCTTTAGTTGTGCTGTTGTGGCTGCCTCAATGTATTGAATCAATTCAAAATATTCATCTTTCATGGTCATTCTGAATTTCAGAAGAGTCACAGGGGTCCAGATCTGGTGAATCACGTGGATGAGGACACACCATAATGTATTTATGAGCCTTCCTTTCCATTGGATGGCACTAAGCAGGAGCACTAACTATAATGTTTATTCCAATATATAAAGACACTCACAAAAGAGGACTTCCAAACTCCTTCAGAAATTGCCAGAACAAATGGGGAAGTGTTCTTGAAGTGAGGATGTGTATTTTATTTAATTTATTTGTCTAAATAGGTGCTTCTTAAGAAGGATTAATTGCCACATATCACTATTGTAGTACCTCTAAAAAATTTAAGTATTAGAGGTATATTTTGATCACCCATTGTACTTCTTCCTTCAGGTTTTTAATTAAACATCTATAAATTCAGTGTCCCCTATACAACATGATTGTGACCAGAAGTATTTGGAATTTCTATAATTTTATTGGAATATTTGCATATACATAATAAGTTATCTTGAGGATGGGACACAGTTTAAAAATGAAATTTATTTATGGTTCACATATACTTCATACTCATAACCTGAAGATAATTTTATACAATACTTTTAAGGAGTTTGTGTTTGACATGTGTATTGTGTTGTTTCTCTGGTGTGGGAAGCTGAAAATGTAGATAAGCACTAAAATAATCTAGATATTTTGAAAATTTTCTAATTAAATGAGGAATTATGCATGTAGGAGGAAGAAAAGAAGGAAGAAAAAAGAAACAAATGATGAGAAAAGAAGAAAACAAAGCTTTCATAAACAAGGAAGGTAAGGGAGTTGAAGCAAAATTAGGGGAATGGAGAATAACACATTCAAGTTTTTATTGTACGGTACAAATTTCCCACGGTTTCCATGATCATTATTTACACCTAAACTATACCAATAATCTTAATGAAAAAATATTTTGTGTTTGAAACAAAATTCTTGTTGTGAAATTTTTCACTTTTGGCACTGTATCATTACTCAAAAGTTCTAGACCTTGAAGCATTTCAGACTTTAGAATTCTGATTAGGAATGCTCAACTGACATTTGGGTAGTTATTGGATAAATATCCCTCCACCTCAATAGACTGTAGGCTTCATGGTAAGAGTATGACAGCAGTCTCTTTGTCATGGTTAACCTTAGTACCCCTCAAGCCTCATGCCATCCTGGATGCGACCATATCTATGTTTTCTGATTGGTTGTTTTCTAGCACTCAGATTGATGGTATGAGAACTACACCTGCCAAGGGTGGAGCCAGCATACAGTGTACCTAAGGAAAGAAGACTTGTGTTTCTCTTTTGCTGTTCATGCCTGATGTTTGTAGCCACCACAAACTACTGCCCCTCAGCCTTTTAACCTTGGAGCCAACTGAGTATGGACTGAAGCCTCCAACCTGTAAGAAATAAACCTTTCCTTCTTTCGTGTTAGACATCAGATATTTTGTCTCAACAACCAGTGAAAAGTAACTAAGACAACTTGTAATTATTGTTTATCAGTACCCAACACAATGCCTGACACAAGAATAGTATGGTTTTGTTGACAGAAAGAAAGTAAGCAATAGCTAACATTTTTAGATTTGTATCACACAGAATTTCACTACTTTCAAGGCTGTGCTGTGAAATAAGGTCTCATCAGTTTTCCTCTCTATAGGCACTAAGCTTGTCATTTCTTTTGCTTTATAATAGCAAATAATGCTCCTCTATCCAGTTTTCATTTACCCTTCAATCTTAGAAGTCAATTCTAAGCTGTTATACAATCTTATGCTGGGCATGTAACTCAGGATCTCCTTCATGCTAGGTGAGTCCTCTACCTCAAGATACATTCCAGCCCTTTCTTTTTTTTCCTGGAGTTTAGGCCATGGGGATGTACTGTGGTGGATGTCCAGCCCAAATGAGTCACCAGGGAACTGCAGTTTTAGCTGCAAGCTGACTGAAGTTCCATGACAGTTTACTGTAATCAAGAACTACCCAACTGAGCATAGACAAACCAAAAAATTGAGTAATAATTATAAAATTTTGCAATAAGGCAATGAGTTTGGGAATCCTTTGTTATACAACAATGGCTAATGAGCAAGAAAGGAGCAAGAGAGGCACTATTCACAATAACCAAGGCAAGCAATCAGTCTACATATCTGTCAGCTGCTCAACGGGAAAAGAAAACATGGCATGCGCATGCGCACACATGCACACACACATCCTACTCAATCATAAAGAAGAATAAAATCTGGTTATATGCAGAAAAATGCATGGAAATGGAAGATACATGTTAAACAAAATAATTCAGATACAAAAGAAATTGCATGTTTTCTCTCATATGTGGAAACTTAAAAAAAGTAGAAGAGGGACTACACGACATGGAAGGAGTGTTAGGTGAGAGGGAGAAGGTAGGACGGGGTGGACGAACTTGATTGAAGCACAATATATGCAAATATGAAAATATAATGAATCTCCTTACACTTTACAGCTAGTATGTGTCAATAAATTTAGTTTTTAAAACACAAAGGAGATGGAATAAAATTTAAAGCATGTGGGCAGTTACATGCTAATGCAGACACTGCTGAATCACTTGCTAATCCCTTGTGTCTTTGGCAGTTTTCATGTGATAGGAGTGCGTAGATTGCTGGGAAAACATCACTGGCCATATTCAAGGCTCACACTTTTGCATGTGGAACATGAATCAAGAGGCCTAAGGCTAAGAATCTTGCTGTCATTTGATAGAAGTTTTTTTCCAAGCAATGTACTATAGCAGAATTATTCCCTGCCTTCAGATGGCAAGGAGGTGGCTGTCAGACACCAGGAACAGGGACTGCATGCTGACTCTCCTACTGCAAAATGACCTTGAAAAGATCCTGTTGCTTTTCCACAGTTAGTTTTCTCCCTGAAAAATGATCACTTAAGTTAGCAACTGTAGAGACTGGAGGTGAGAAATAGCATTTTGATGGAGTTCATGAGTCAGAGGTGGCCAGAGAAAAGTCTTTTGCAAGTGCTTTTTCACCATAATTCTGGATACTTTGTACAACCTGTTTGGTATAATTAACCAATTATTTCCTCATCATAAAGTTCTAGAAGTAAGTTTGTTGGGCCAAGAGGGTGTGACCTTTTCCAATCTGGTTACCTAGGCATGTTGAATTAATTTATATTCTCACCAGAATATCCCTATTTTCTCATCAACCTTGGCACCACTAAGTTTTTATGTTACCTGAGTTGATGGTCAGTGTTTCTCAGTTTTTTAAAATTAATGTCCAAATCAAGCTGTTCCTTCTTATGCTGGCCAAACTGCCAGATGA